ATAGAAACCAACATTATTCAAGAGACGTTACTCAGGAAGTTACAGCGTTATGGTGTAAAAAAACATAGTGCTTAAACTTATAGCATCATGTTTAAATAATTAAAGAATGTGAAGAACAGTTATCAATGAGAGTATGATCGGTAGTATGTATGTGTGTTCCTCAGGGCTGACTGACTTATCTTGTTATGCGGCGGTTGCAGTTCTCTTTACGGAGTTCAGAAACGACCTGTGGCAAACAAATGCTAGCATACCATTCTGCATTAACCGTTCTTTGTCTCTCGAGAGGAATAGTCGTAACATGGCTGGTTTTGGAGACAAACATAGCCACCATTTTTTTTTGCAACACTCCATGAACGAACAATTTTTGTTGGTTTTAACTCATTTTCGGACACCCAAACTCAAGACTGGTTTTTTGTTTCGGGTTCGTACGCGTATATCCAGGATTCGTCACCTGATACGATGTTGTATACAGCATTTGAGGATCCTGCGTGGAATCTTTCGAGAGTTCTGACGCACCAAGTAACGCGAGCCGCTTTTTGCTCTTCACAGAGCGAATGCGGTATCCATCGGGAAAACAACTTTTTTACACCTAATTGTCCATGCAAGATTATTTGTATTTGACTCATGCCGATGTCTAAAGTTGCCTGAATTTTGCGATATGTCACATGTCGATCTTCCTCAATCAGTTTACGCACATCATTTCTTGGGTGGCTGCAGTTTTTTGACGACCTTGACGGGGATCATCACTGAGCTTGACACGTCCACGTTGAAATTCAGCAAACCAGCGATAAATTGTGGTTTTGGATGGGGCTTCACCACCAAATGCAGAAATCATCCGCTCAACACACTGTTTTTGTGTTAAGCCACTTCGAAAGTCATAATAAATCATCGCTCTTGAATTTTCTCGAGTCAATTCCATTTTCTCAACGACTAAACAAGTTTGACAAAACCTTGTGACAAGACCGAGAATCTTTTTTTTTTAAATAAATGGTATTCGATTTTTAAAACCAAGGAGTTTTCAATTAAAACTATTTTAATATGACAGGAACAGTGGAAATATTCCATTCCCGATACTTTTAGTGCAGCCTAGTATAGAACCAAAAAAATAGCATATGGATGGGTCAAACAGGATGCCAGAATAGGATCAGGTAAGCACTTAATTTTAATTCTTTGTAAAAAGTTACTCATGAGTTGCTTTTTATCAAATAATAAACTTTGTGCAGTTTAAATTAAAACCACCAATATCTACACAAAGTTAATGAAATACCAAATGTTAATCTACTGTTTATTGATATCTTTAAATTTAATACATGTGGCTTACATTTGCTTTTGGTGAGTTAAATATTTTATAAGAAATATGAAAAACTATCATAAAGTCTCCCTAGGTTGAAAAGATTGAGTTACACAAAAAAAAATAGAATACATGCAGCATAGCAAACTTTTTTGTACAATATTACAATATTGTACAGTTACAAGTACATAAATTAAAAAAAAACTGCAGAATGGACAAATGTTTCACAGATATAAATGATTATGATTAATTGGAATTAAAAATATTCATAGGTAAGTATAAAAATATATTCAAGCCTAACTAAATACAGATCATATAACAATTTTTAATCATATTTGCTATATATCAATTACAGTCATGATTACTCCAATTACAGAATTAATAGAAAAACAACTTCAAATCATACTTACAGGAATAACAAATAAATAATAAAATTAAACATGTGTTTTGTGATATCGAATTGCAGATGCTAAAGATGAGAGATAATGTGATGGGGAATGCCCTTAACATAATTTCAAATGTACGCTCTCTCACTTGTTACTCAATGGTGTAGGCGGAAACTAAAGACTTCCATTAGGCACAATCCTTACACAATTCTCTCTTTTTCGTTTCTTTCACATGTATAAATCTATGCACAAATGCTCATTAGTTAAGGGTATTCTTAATATGGAACATCACCATTATAACACCAATGAGGTTTGATTACTATCTATTCATATTTAACAAATTTATTTATTCTCTTGACCAGGAAATCACTTTGTATATTATGCTATGATAATTATGTTAACTCACAATTCAATTGAGCTAGCCTGTAATGATAGCGTATCGTTAGATAAATAAATATGTCTAGGATGTCTTCATTTATTATTTCATCTTGCATTTACTATCATTCCGTTTATAATTAATATTTTATATTCAATAAATGTAACATATTAATTATAAATTATTATTTTAAATTCTTAAAAGATGGTAAGCTACAGTTCTTGCAAAAATAATGATGTTCATACATTATGAATCTTTTGTCATTAAATTATTGTGGTTGAAATATGAATTTATTTTATACCCTCAATTCCTGCTTCATACTAAAGGGACTTCAATATTAACTGAAGAATATGATCAGAATATTACAAAACAAAAAATAGATGTAGCATCTGCAATTGTAAACATCAATATTGATCAAAACACATGTTAATTATTGTATAATAATTTATTCGCTTTCATTTAATTGTTTCCATAACACAAAATAATCTTACAATCTAAACAAATTGCTTTCACTTATTCATGATCAACAATATATCATATCCCTTCACAAGTCCATTAGTGAACGTAGGAGTCTTTCAAGGAAAGTCACAAATCATAGTCTGAAGCACCTACATCTATCGATTAATGCATGTCTTACGAGGTTGTCATTTACTATCAATAATAATAATACCAATCTGAACCGTGTTTACTGACATAAGAATATACACTACTCATGTCACTACACATGTCATTCTCTGTGTCGTAAGAATCAAGTCAGATGAGCAGTGGCAACATTCTGACAACAGCTTAGTAATAAAAATATCTACCGTAGCCAACTAAACTCAGTAAATATGGCAAGCTATGGCAACCCCTAAGAAAAATGTCTATTTATTGTAATTTAATTCTAAAAAGGCAGATAATCTGACTCATGCCACTTTGTTACACCTTCGCTTGGCTGCTAAGCAAGTCATTAATGTTTAACTTAGTGATTACCTACATATAATATTCAGTCAAAATCAACAAAATAAAACAGAAAAAGTTCATACAACTATATCACACAAACAGAAATTAAACAAATTCACAACTGATTTCGTTTTTTGAAATGTCTCTCAGTGGAGTAAATATTTAATATTTCACATAACACTACTTTAATAACCACTAGAAGCACCTCATTTGATAAATTATAACTCACCAAATATTTTTGATTTGTAGGGTAGTCATTTGATGGTGGGTATCGTCCCATTACATACCGACTGATTACAATTTTGACTTTATGATGAATAGCGACGACTGCTGATGTTGATGTCCTGGGTCGTGTTGGTTGTGTGACAGGTACTTTTGCCTGATTAATCGTGTTATAAAATGTACGTTGCCCGCCTGCACATAAAAATATTTATAGTTTTTTTTTATTTTGACTTGGTTGTCACTGTGTGTGAATCAATTTTGACGTTTATATGGAGTTGAGTTACTGCTAGCATTAAACTTACTCCAGCCACTCCACAACCCCTTCTTCCCATTTGATATAAATTTTTTAAACTCCTTTGTCCCCAGTAAAGGTACAATTTCAATAAAATCAATTACAGTAAAAGTATTAATAGTACTGCAAAACTACTGTGCCGGTGTCGATATACGCTACGGTTTTTGGGCAGTACTAACAGATGAGTATCTAACAGTGAGAACAGTGAACGTGGTAGAGCCATGCTGCAGTTATATTAGTAGTATAGTTGTAGCAATGGGTCGGCTCGACCGGGGAAGGACCATGCTCTCACAGAATACTAGTGTGAAACTGTAGCTTAATGCTGCTGTATTTCGTATGGTGAGTGTAGAGAACCGGAGACCCTTTTTACTAGAAACGAGGCATTCCATCTGGGTCCTCATGGGTGACAATGCATCTGCATTTTGATTCGTAATCGAGGATAGATGTAGATGTTTATGTGCTGCAGCATCCACTTACCATCAGGTGGACTGTGTGCTTGTTTGTCACCCTATTCTATATAAAAAAAAGATTTAGTTCTGCAACATGTAAAAATGGTCTTGTAAGTCATCGCGACTTGAATAGAGAAGATGGTTGGGTGCTGCCATCTGCTTGGGATCCTATAATAAATAAAATTAAATCCCAACCCAAGCATACAACTGCAAGACTTCAAGATACCATAAGTTCATACTGTATAGATCGGAACAAAAGTTAAATTTTAATCTATGGTAACTGCAGTTAACTATGACATATGGATGTTGAACATCTCAGTCCCGCCCGTGACCATGAGTGCTGTAAAGCGTTCGAAACGTCGGGTATTTAAAAAGTTAAATATACGCGATAAATTCTGAAAAAACTAGTATTATTTCCAAGTAAAATCAGTTAAATAAACGCGATAGAATCCGTAAATTTAGTTTTATTCAATGTGTAGTGTTCGCGTAAATTTAAGAAATCATTATGTTTTTTATTGTTATCAAAATACAATAAAATCTATTTATAATGTAGTAAAACCTGACTTTTTTTAGACCACAGGATAGAGAATTTTGTACAAATTCTATAATGCCAAATTTCTTCATAGAAAAGTAATCTCTAAGTATAAGTTTTAATGGTTTTAAGTGCTGTGGGTGCATGCGTGGGATTTTTATGGGGATTGAAGGGTTAATATAATGCCATACAATAAATAAATGTATCAATAAATACCTAGGCCTTAAAACGGAAGCTTAATACCTCATATAAAACCAAGATCGATGCAGCACTGGTCAAGTGGCAAGTCCCGATAAAGGCCTAAACAATGGATGAAATGTTCAGCGGTGGATTAGTCATGTGTTGCAATGATGAAACCATTAAAGAAAATTTTATTCGCGTTGAATGCTTGTATGATTCTAGCTAGAATAAACGTTGATAAATTCTTAATTCTAAGTTTTAGAAACAAAACAAGACTAACCTCAATTAATACTTCCAAAGTCCCAAAAAGTCCAGGGCTAACATGAGACTTCAAAAATTTTTTTCTTGTTTTATACTCTTTTTATAAAGTAGAGTTTGATGTTCCTCTTCAAAAAGTGTTTCATCCATTTCTTGCTTGCACAAATCAATCCTACGGAAAAATACATTCTCAATAGATTGAAATTTGTCAAAATTCTATTTAATTTAAATAGACATGAATAATACAACTAAATACGAAAATTGTTGTAAACGCCGCGCAATAATTTCCAATTTTTAAAATATCATTTCATTATTTGTAATTAGAGAAGCTCTGAACTAATCTGTGCCTTTTATTCATTGACTTATATATTACCAGCGTAAGGACCGGGCCGACCGAACAATTAAAACGGACCAATGTATTGGCCCTAAAATTACAGTTTAGGGCCAACGCGAATCGGTCGACAGTGGTGCGCGCGCAGGACAGATTTGCCTGACACAAATATGTCTAGTTGCGTGTTAAAAGAATGCAAAAATACGCTACAAAAATAAGAGAAACATGGGGTATCGTATCATCGGTAAATAACCTTATATTAATTTTGTTACAATTAGATTATTATATAAACGCATTTATAAAGTTTTATTTTACAGTTAGTTTAGCGACGTTACCTAGATTAGGCCAGGGTAGGATTCAGACCCTCAAAAATATTGTACATGGAAAATAAAATTATACAATTTTAAAAAAAATTATTCACGTTTGACTTTTCGTGTTTCTTTTTACCCATGTGCTGGGATTTTGGAGTCACGCATTTTTATTTCTATTAAAATTTTGTCTAAAGAACTTAGTGTAAGTTAACTTTTGAATATTGGTACCTAATATGTTTAATATTCAATAAGGGTAAAACGAAGAGTTCAAAAGAAAAGGATCGATCGAGCATCGATTGACCAGAAAGGGAGCTAATTCTAATTTTATTTAAAAAAAAAACGCGGCACTCATGTACAATATAGAAATTCTCGATATCGTAGAGTTAATATTAAAACGTAAAAAGACCCAATAATAATACAAGTCGACCTTTAGGTAAAATTATTGTATTTCCGCCTAGTATTATTACGATACTATGTACTACAAACTATGAAACAATGGTACAATTAGGATAATTATACTACGAAATCCGACCCTGGTTACGTCGTGTTTTGATATGACGTTTGTATTATGACATATACGCTACTTTTTCTTGTATGAAAAAGTTATGAGTAAAATATTTATATGGGCCTATCCTTCCTTTTGAAATCATTGCTTTTAATAAGTTTACCCCTCGTTAACTGTAAATTTTTTATTAGTATGTATTCATGAAGAAACACTTAGTTTAATTAAATAAATAAAATACTTTAATGAAATCTATTTTTCAGTTTTTCGCACAGCCTGTATATTTTCGCGGTGCGCTCAAGGCTTTTTCCTAATTAAAGTCTAAGTCACTTAGTCAAGTCAAGCTAATAGAATTTGGCAGGTATAGAACACTAAAACTTCGCTAAAAATATATTATAATAGTTTCAAGAATACGCGCTCTGTATCTAAATACTCGCACAATCATTTATTTTGTGATGAAAGTAAATGTTTGGAAAGCCACAACTAACAATTTATTAATAAATAGTAACTTAAACTACTGATACATATATATTTCAGATATATGTCATGTAAACAATATACATAGATACAAAACTGAGATATTTCCAAACCTGATCTCGCGTTCGACGCAGCTTAAACGTTGCGCCTCCGCAAAATTGCAGTCCTCTGGCTTCCTTATTTTGCTTGGTCCAGCTGAGAACAAATCAATAAGCGCCAAGCCTGATAGAACTTGATGATTTAGACAAAATTGATTTTATATTTTACAAATTTAACATTAACAAACACAGTGATAGTTTTGGTAGAAACTTTTATCATGTAATATGTATATTATGTTCAATTCTAAAGTCATCAAGTATGTAATCAACCGATTGTGAAAATATAATTCTTAAAACAAACTTGTAATTATAAAAAGACATAAATTCTAAATGGGAAATAATGTTTTGATAGTTTTGATTAATAAATGATATGTTTTCGCATGAGAACCTTGTTGAACTACAAGAAAAAATACAATCATGTAAAACTTCTAAACATTTTTTTAGGCAAGCACAAGGAAAATTAAATAAATAGCACGTATTTGAATGTCAGTTAACCTAAGATAAAAATAAATAAATATTATAAACACTTAAAAACGTTACACACAAAACACAACACTTAACACCCAGACTTCATATTGAAAACCAATTCTATCTTGATCTTTTATTATTGTTAATTTAGTTTGTCTAATATTCGCTAGGGCTAAAGTTTTACCTGTTTTTACTCAATAAACGTAAATAGTTATATCGCTAAGCATTTAGATAAGTTATAATTAAAAATTCTTACAATTGAATGGGTGTATTATAGATTTACTCACCTTCACAAGAATTTGGTGATTTGTGTTTAACTGCAGCACTTTTTGATAATACTTGAGTTGGTAATGGTGGTGGAGGCCCGCTTGCATCAAACCTTAAATCATATTTAATATAGATTTAGTGTTATGTCCCATATAGAAATGTACATAAATAAGACTATACTTACATAACTGGCAGAGGTGGCGGAGTTTCGTCCATGGGGAAAACCATGGAAGTATTCTTTGGTGGTGGGGGTAGTGGTGGTGGTGGTGGTGCTGAAAAATCATGTCATCATCATTCAAAAAAAATTAATTAAGCTTTTCCTATTTCATAACTTTTCTTATTAAATAATAAGTGTTTTTAAACAAAGGTCAGTATATACTAAAGTTGTGCTAAAATACTTCTAGCACTAGCAACAGGTAGCTATAACAATGCAAAGTCCATGCTATAATCTGTATGTTCCAAAATGATGATCTATAATTACAATAACGCAAATAATTTCATTGATTTACAAGAAAACTCAATCTATTTTAATTAATTATTAATTGAAACAACAATAAATATCAGACTTCGTGCAATCAAATTAAGTTAGATGTAGGGTTTGGAACTAACAACCCTGCTACTTTTTTCAATTAGGCTGTTAAGTAACTAAAATAGATGTTCACTCAAAATAAATTACGACAGATAAATAGCATTCACGGCGGAGAGACTGATGTGTTCGAAGGCTAAGCTTTTAAATATACACTCGGCGTCAAAAAAATCGCACATCCGAAAAAAATAATTTAAATACTATTTTAACACAACAGGCCAATGGCAATGTTGTGGTTTGAGGGTATCATTCGAAAGGTAATTTCAATAGCTTTCAGGAATTTTAATTGAATTTTACTTTTATAACGAGACGAAAGAGAAATTAAAGAAAAAGACAGGGTACAATTAATAATTTTAATTAATAATTAAAAAAAAAACTTAATAAATACAAAAAAAGTTCTTAAAACCTAGTGTTACCCCCCCTTGCCTTGATAACGGCTTCCATGCGATCTTTCATGGACCATACAAGGGTCGCAACAGCCTCTTGGGGTATTTGTTCCCACTCTTCAAGTACCGCATCTTGGAGCTCTTCAAGAGTGGTTGGAGCTGGATCTCGAGCTCGCACGCGCCGTTTTAGGTCATCCTTTAAGGTCTGGACTTCGTGCTGGCCAATGCATAACAGGGATATCATAACCTCCTGTAAATAATCCCGTACAATAGCCGCGGTGTGGCAACGAGCATTATCATGCATTAACATGAATCCATCACCGACATAACCAGCATACGGGACCACATGTTCCTCCAGGATTTCAGTAATGTACCGACCAGCATTTAATGACCCTTGCCCACGGCCACGCCGAGTCCAGGAAACGCACACAAGTTCCGTTTTCCCGTCGACGGAAATGCCGCCCCAAAACATACACGAGCCACCCCCGTATTCGACGGATTCTTCGAAGCAGGGTTGTGTGAACCTCTCCCCCCTGTCTTCTGTAGACCCTTCTACGTCTGTCATTGCAGAAGAGGCAGACCCTCGTCTCATCAGAGAAGAGTACCGTCCGCCACTGTTCTAGAGTCCACTCGCAATGATTGCGAGCAAACTCTAGGCGATCTCTGCGATGCTGTGCAGTAAGTTTTGGACCTTTAGCAGGTCTATGGGCTGTTAAACTCTTTTCGTGTAACCTTCTTCTTATCGTAGAAACACTCACAGATGTTCTCCGAGTTGATCGAAGCTGTTGTTGCAACTCAACAGCATTTGTAAAACGGTTTCGTAAAGATGTCGTAACGATGAAACGGTCATCTCTTTCTAATGTGCACCGTTTTCTTCCAGATCCCGGTTTTCTTACATAACCACCAGTCTGTTGAAAACGTTGGAACACCCTTCGAACTGAAAAACGGGACAAGTTCAACTGTCGAGCAACGTCACACTGCCGCATCCCCGACTGCAATAGGGCAATCACTTGAGCGGCTTCTTCAGAGCTGGTGTCCATCTTTACTTGTTCTTACTTGGGTTACTTGTTCACGTGTGTTCACTGCAAAGTCTAAATTACGACTGACCCATATTTCATCCAGATCGACCCTTTGATACCCTTTTTAGGTGGTGTAACCAGCGTCCTTACTAACGAGCATTTGACAGTGTTTATTTTTGACGCTCTATAATGATAAATGTTTTAATGATTTCATGATTTTTTTATTAATAATGTAAAGCTATTCAAATACTCATTTCAAACATACCAATATTTGTATAAATATAATTCGTTTCTAGCCATTACAGCCATTTTTCGCGCAAACTCAGAGAGGTGCGATTTTTGTGACGCTGAGTGTAGTTCTACTGCATTACTTTAGTAACAGAATCCATAAATCTATGTCATTATAAATATAATAAAATATGAGCATGTTGTAATATTTTGTTTGTATTTAATACAGTGGAAACATGCAGCAATAGTTGTATTTTGACCTCAGCACAAATGTTAGTTCAACTGGGGGAAAGACTATAAAAGCATGTTAAATACCACATGGTACTAACATAAAATAGTAGAATGGTGCTGCTGTGTTATTTATGGTGAGTATAGAGACGCAGAGCCGTGAGAAGGAAAAGCCGTGGTAGCTCAGATTGTTAATACTCTTACAATTGAATGGGTGTATTATAGATTTACTCACCTTCACAAGAATTTGGTGATTTGTGTTGAACTGCAGCACTTTTTGATAATACTTGAGTTGGTAATGGTGGTGGAGGCCCGCTTGCATCAAACCTTAAATCATATTTAATATAGATTTAGTGTTATGTCCCATATAGAAATGTACATAAATAAGACTATACTTAACATAACTGGCAGAGGTGGCGGAGTTTCGTCCATGCGGAAAACCATGGGAGTATTCTTTGGTGGTGGGGGTAGTGGTGGTGGTGGTGGTGGTGGTGCTGCTGCTGAAAAATCATGTCATCATCATTCAAAATAAAATTAATTAAGTTTTTCCTATATCATAACTTTCTAATTCAATAATAAGTGTTTTTAAACAAAGGTCAGTACATACTTAAATTGTGCTAAAATACTTCTAGCACTAGCAACAGGTAGCTATAACATTGCAAAGTCCATGCTATAATCTGTATGTTCCAAAATGATCATTTATATATAATATAATTACAATAACTTGTGGCGGCGCTATCATCGCGCCGCAAGCGAAACACACCGAAGCCCAAATCACGCTATCAACATTCCGAATCATAAACAGTATATATAGAACTTCTCCGAACTATCACATGGAGTGCTGGCCGCTCCCCGGGCAGAACACCTTGCCCGGCGGGAGATCTCCCCTTTTCCTTCTACGGCCACAGTGGTGACGACCCGACGTGATCTGAACACGCAACCAAACAACCTTCGGAAGCTTCAAGCTTCATCATCGTCATAGAATACCCCACCCATTCGCTCCCGAGCAGATATCGTCTGCAGTCTTCATATCCTGCAAGCAATCTAGCTTCACAAGGTTCATCGCAGCACTGGAATAATAATGCTTCCTGTTCCTTCAAGCTACTCTCTGCGCTACAGCGTTTGGCACGGCTCTGAGCCTTACTGCTCGCCTCTGCTTCACGAAACTCTCGCAGATTACTTGCCTTCTTCTCGACTCACCGCAGACTACAAGGTAATCTCCTGGCACTTGCACATTCGTCGGCAACGAGGCTGCACTATCGACCTCCGGTCTGAGCAGGGGAGTGATGTGGCGGCGCTGTCATTGCGCCGCAAGCGAAACACACCGAAGCCCAAATCACGCTATCAACATTCCGAATCATAAACAGTATATATAGAACTTCTCAGAACTATCACATGGAGTGCTGGCCGCTCCCCGGGCAGAACACCTTGCCCGGCGGGAGATCTCCCCTTTTCCTTCCACGGCCACAAACGTAAATAATTTCTTTGATTTACAAGAAAACTCAGTGTATTTTAATTATTTATTAATTGAAACAACAATAAATATCAGACTTCGTGCAATCACATTAAGTTAGATGTAGGGTTTGGAACTAACAACCCTGCTACTTTTTTCAATTAGGCTGTTAAGTAACTAAAGCAGTGCACAGTATGTTATGTGTGTAACAATAGCAAAGGCATGCTATCAGGCCTGGTGATGAGACGTCACATAGATGTTCAGTCAAAATAAATTACGACAGATAAATAGCATTCACGGCGGAGAGACTGATGTGTTCGAAGCCTAAGCTTTTAAATATAGTTCTACTGCATTACTTTAGTAACAGAATCAATAAATTTATGTCATTATAAATATAATAAAATATAAACATGTTGTAATATTTTGTTTGTATTTAATACAGTGGAAACATGCAGCAATAGTTGTATTTTGACCTCAGCACAAATGTTAGTTCAACTGGGGGAAAGACTATAAAAGCATGTTAAATACCACATGGTACTAACATAAAATAGTAGCATGGTGCTGCTGTGTTATTTATGGTGAGTATAGAGAAGCAGAGCCATGAGAGAGAAAAGCCGTGGTAGCTCAGATGGTTAATACTCTTACAATTGAATGGGTGTATTATAGATTTACTCACCTTCACAAGAATTTGGTGATTTGTGTTGAACTGCAGCACTTTTTGATAATACTTGAGTTGGTAATGGTGGTGGAGGCCCGCTTGCATCAAATCTTAAATCATATTTAATATAGATTTAGTGTTATGTCCCATATAGAAATGTACATAAATAAGACTATACTAACATAACTGGCAGAGGTGGCGGAGTTTCGTCCATGCGGAAAACCATGGGAGTATTTTTTGGTGGTGGGGGTAGCGGTGGTGATGGTGGTGCTGAAAAATCATGTCATCATCATTCAAAATAAAATTAATTAAGTTTTTCCTATTTCATAACTTTTCTTATTAAATAATAAGTGTTTTTAAACAAAGGTCAGTATATACTAAAGTTGTGCTAAAATACTTCTAGCACTAGCAACAGGTAGCTATAACAATGCAAAGTCCATACTATAATCTGTATGTTCCAAAATGATGATCTATAATTACAATAACGTAAATAATTTCTTTGATTTACAAGAAAACTCAGTGTATTTTAATTATTTATTAATTGAAACAACAATAAATATCAGCCTTCGAGTAACCAAATTAAGTTAGATGTAGGGTTTGGAACTAACAACCCTGCTACTTTTTTCAATTAGGCTGTTAAGGAACTAAAGCAGTGCACAGTATGTTATGTGTGTAACAATAGCAAAGGCATGCTATCAGGCCTGGTGATGAGATGTCACATAGATGTTCAGTCAAAATAAATTACGACAGATAAATAGCATTCACGGCGGAGAGGCTGATGTGTTCGAAGCCTAAGCTTTTAAATATAGTTCTACTGCATTACTTTAGTAACAGAATCAATAATTCTATGTCATTATAAATATAATAAAATATGAGCATGTTGTAATATTTTGTTTGTATTTAATACAGTGGAAACATGCAGCAATAGTTGTATTTTGACCTCAGCACAAATGTTAGTTCAACTGGGGGAAAGACTATAAAAGCATGTTAAATACCACATGGTACTAACATAAAATAGTAGAATGATGCTGCTGTGTTATTTATGGTGAGTATAGAGAAGCAGAGCCGTGAGAGAGAAAAGCCGTGGTAGCTCAGATTGTTAATACTCGCCGTAAATATAACAGAACGCGAGTAACCCGGGTTCGATCCCCGCTGGCAATTTTAAGTGCTAATTTACCACGTGCTCGGCGGTGAAGGAAAACATCGTGAGGCAACCTGCATGTCTGAGGAAAAAGAAAAAAATATTTCAAAGACTGTGAAGTTCGACAACACGCATTGGGGCAGCGCGGTGGACACTTCCTTGCCCTAAAACCCTCTCAGAAACGAGGGGAGGCCTGTGCCCAGCAATGAGACGTATATAGGCTGTAACTTTACTTTTTTATAGAGAAGCAGGATCTCCCCTTTCACATGCAACAAGGCTTTCAATGTTCAGCAAAAATTACTGCGGCAAAAATTACTAGAGCTATTTCCTACTGGCATATGCCATATTGATTGACATTGTAAAATTATAGCCACAAAACATGGCTTCACCTACGTGTTGGTTCAATTATGCCCATAATTATTGCTATATCATGGTAGTTTGGCCGTAACGTAATAGATATTGGTTGCATACCTTAACAGATACATACACTTTCTACTCAAAACTCTGTCATGTTAATTTTTATCTATGTATAAATTTCTCAATTGCAAGGTGTTTTGATTTTATGTTTTTTTTTAAATTGTACTATTTTTGTATTTTCTGTGAATAGTTTAAACTGTAAATAAAACTTGAAACATAGCATTGAAACTCTATTAGCTTTTAGGATGTAAACCTGCTTCACACACCATATAGATTTAAAATACCAATAAACAGAACTATATAACTTTACAAAATTTCAGAAAAGTATTATTGGCAAATATGAAGCCCATAATATGTCCAACATTTAATTAAGATTCATAAAGGTTGTTTTTGTTTTGGTTTTAAAATGATAACTTATTTAATTTAAAATAATAAGCGTAATACTAACCTGTCACAGTTGCTGATGGAACAGTTGGAGGCGGTGGAGAAGGAGGAGGAAGGTGTTGGATTGGTATGGAAGGCATTACTGGCTTCATTGGTATTGCTGGAATTGGTGGCGGTGCAGGAGGTTGAGAAGATGAGGGTAGTAGTACTGGGGGAGGAAGAGGTGCCGGTGATACAGGTGCAGTGGTCCAAGTCACAGTCGCTGTTGGAACAGTTGGAGGCAGTAGAAGAGGAGGTGGAAGGTGTTGGATTGGTATGGAAGGCATTACTGGCTTCATTGGTATTGCTGGAATTGGTGGCGGTGGAGGAGGTTGAGAAGATGGGGGTGGTGGTACTGGGGGAGGAAGAGGTGCTGTTGCTGGAGGTGGAGGAGGAGGCGGAGGAGGAAGGTGTTGGATTGGTATGGAAGGCATTACTGGCATCATTGGTATTGCTGAAATTGGTGGCGGTGTAGGAAGTTGAGAAGATGGGGGTGGTGGTACTGGGAGAGGAAGAGATGCTGTTCCTACAGGTGCAGTGGTCCAATTCACACTCGCTGATGGAACAGTTGGAGACGGTGGAGGAGGAGGAGGGTGTTGGATTGGTATGGAAGGCTTTACTGGCTTCGTTGGTATTGCTGGAACTGGTGGCGGTGCAGGAGGTAGAGAACATGGGAGTGGTGGTACTGGGGGAGGAAGAGGTGCTGGTGCTACAGATGCAGTGGTCCAAGTCACAGTCGCTGATGGAACAGTTGGAGGCGGTGGAGGAGGAGGAGGGTGTTGGATTGGTATGGAAGGCTTTACTGGCTTCGTTGGTATTGCTGGAACTGGTGGCGGTGCAGGAGGTAGAGAACATGGGAGTGGTGGTACTGGGGGAGGAAGAGGTGCTGGTGCTACAGATGCAGTGGTCCAAGTCACAGTCGCTGATGGAACAGTTGGAGGCGGTGGAGGAGGAGGAGGAAGGTGTTGGATTGGTATGGAAGGCATTACTGGCATCATTGGTATTCCTAGAGTAGCGTAGCATTCTGCAAGTACTCGGGGTATTTGGCCAGTGGTAAAAAATAATTTTTCTTCTTCGCTAGTTGTATGAAGATATTTGCAGTCTTCTCGTGTGCAGCCAGTTCTATTCTGGTAGTCGTGGCAAAATAGTAGAATTTTTTTCATTTCCTCAACGTCAAGTTCATGACGAAATTTACATTGTGCATTTTTTAAACACTTCCCCCATACATAACGCCGACATATTTCTTTAGGTTGGTAATTGGTTTGCAGTTTTTTTGTTTCAGTCTTCCAATCATATGGCGGCCGAGGCTGTGCGAGTTGCGGAGGCTGACGGTCAATTTGATCGCCACGATTGCTCATTGACTATGAATTCCTGAAAGTAAATATATATATACTGGACATATTTACTGGACTGGAAAGGATACGGTATTAACATCAATGGCGAGTACATCACTTCGATTTGCCGACGATATAGTCCTTATGGCAGAATCGCTGGAGGACCTTAGCACTATGCTCAATGACCTCAATGGTGTCTCCCAACGGATAGGTCTTAAGATGAACATGGAAAAAACAAAGATCATGTTTAATGTCCATGTCACACCTGTGCCGGTAGTTGTTGGAAGCACTATGCTCGAAGTTGTTGACGAGTACGTTTACCTGGGACAAATAGTCCGACTAGGTAAATCCAACTTCGACCGAGAGGTCAATCGACGGATTCAACTCGGTTGGGCAGCGTTCGGGAATTTACGACACATCTTCTCGTCAGGTATACCTCAATCTCTGAAAACTAAAGTGTACAACCAGTGCGTGTTGCCAGTGATGACTTACGGATCTGAGACGTGGTCCTTCACTGCTGGCCGTATGAGGACGCTCAAGGTCGCTCAGCGAGCTATGGAGAGGGCTATGCTCGGAGTTTCTCTGCGTGATAGACTCAGAAATGAGGATATCCGCAGTAAAACCAGAGTGACCGACATAACCCAACGGATTAGTAAGCTGAAGTGGCAATGGGCCGGCCATATAACTCGAAGAACCGATAACCGATGGGGAAGAAAGGTTCTCGAGTGGCAGCCTCGTACCGGTAGGCGTAGTGTAGGGCGACCCCCCGCTACATGGAGTGACGACCTGGTAAGACATGCAAGAAGTCGAGGGATGCAGGTGGCTTAGGACCATACTTGGTGGCATTACTTGGAGGAGACCTATGTTCAGCAGTGGACTTGTGAAGGGCTGTAATGATAATGATGATTTATTGCCAAAATTATATACCACGAGATAAAGAAAATAATTGTTACCTGTAGACTTACAGCGGGGCTAGCATGGGCAGGAGACAATATATTCACGGGGAGAGGATAAAAAAATTTTCCACTCACTCTTAACACTCAGTTTTATCCACCCTGCGAGCATGGGCAGGAGACAACAGTTATATCCCCTGATTATATCCACTGACAAGAGATACAATTATCTTATCCCTATAGTATATCCCCGTTTGACATAACGAGTAGACATATATCTCCCCGTCCGTAGCATGGGGCCAAAGGAAAGAGAAAATTTTATCCCCGTTCATGGACGTTTATCTTCAAACCATTTCAATACAAAAAGAAAGATGTCTCAAGCTTACTGCAACTACATTTTCAAGTCAAAAAGACTATTTTGATTACAAAACCAAAACATACCAAGGGAATGACGGCAGCGTTAAAATCACAATTATTTCAATATATATTACTCGAAATTATTTACGAAAAAAGATAAACTATATTCACACAAAAACTTTCATTACAATTTTATAATAAAACACTAGAAAAATGAACGTAGATTATAAATAAGTATCCATAGGTTAACTTGACTTTTTATTGCACTAGAGGATAGACAGTTTCATATTGATTCTATAATGCCAAACTTCTTCATGGAGAAGTAGTCTCTAAATATAAGTGTTAATGGTTTAAAATGCTGTGGGTGTGCGCGGTCGAATCCGACCGCTTGAATTTTGACGGAATAGCGCCGCGATCGGATTCGACCGCTTGGGGACTGAGAGGTAAAGCCTATTAATACTGTTACAAGCTTATGGTTCTTGACAATAAAAACTGCCGATTGAATTACTAAAATTAACTCTTTAACTACCGAACACCAATTAAAACTTAAAAGACACTAATAATTAATCACACTGATTCACTTTATTTCGCTCCGAAGCTTCACTTGTATCGCCAAATTCAATACTGCCCCGATCGCGGCATTCAACGGGTTTCAAGGGTTCTTCCACCGAAACATCCAGAATATTCCAGCAAATACGGGCCCCGACCGACCAGGCGCAGAAAGTTCGAGTGTGGGGCTTTCTAGAAAGCTTAGTTCCTCTGTTCGATAATAGATGGCACTAGTGACATCAACTGTGGTGCGCAACACTGCTCCTTCCTAAGACATGCTCGTCCCGAGCGTTATCAGTCCCATAATAACGCGCCACATGGACGATCTTAGGAGTACCTCTTGCACCTTTCTGAAACGGCTCCGCAACGTCAAGGGCTGTCCTCTCCCATGGTGCACCAACATTGTACAATTTCAATGCACCTCTACTACGAGTCTGAGGTCCCTTCACAGCCGCATAACTTGTACATTTGCGACACCAATCCTCGGCATCGTCACGATAATGAACCCAGTAAAACCGTTCCCGGGTTTTCAGTAGAGTTCGTTTAACTCCCAGATACCATAATGGTTGTTCAGAGAGGATTCCTGAATAACCATTGTGGTACAACTGTAGAACACCCGGCACTTTAGCTTTAGGGACAACCATTTGCAAACGACAGCTGTCTCCTCGATCATTTTCCCATTTACGGCAGAGGACTCCATCCTGAATCAGCAAGCTGTCCCATTGGGCCCAATAGCTTTTAGTGGTCGAACTCATCGCTGAGACGTCGCTCCACTTGGGCTTGGGAGCACGGGCCTCCATCCATTCCAGAATTGGCTTGATGTCCGGATCTTCCTGCTGTGCATGTAGCTGTCCTTCCACTCGTTGCTGAGGTGGTCTGTCCTGAGCATCCTCACAGATACCACTTCCTTACCCTCTTGCCTAGTACTATTCTTGCAATCATCAGCATCTGTGTTGCCATGCCATTTCCCACTGCAGTGTACGATAGTGAATTCGTATTTCTGCTGCTGCTGGGCGGTGCTGTTAGCCGCACTACCCTTTCGAGATCGATCACCTTCCCTTTTTACAGATCGCTTAGGGCAGCTTGGTCGAAGATGGCCCCTTTCCCTACAGCCGTAGCACCTTGGGCTGTAACTTTTATTGTGGTTGCGAACTGTAGGTGCTGCAACCTTCCTGATGCGATGGGAACGACGATCCTTCCGCACGGCTTCAACCTCAAGTGCATGGGCCAAGGCTTCCTTAAGCGTCACGTGGTGCCCGAGCCTCAGCTTCCGACAGGGGTTTGTCATACTGAGCAAGCCTATTCCTCACCTTCAACTTGACTTCGGGTACGGACACCCTCCGTGTCGTCCTTCGGTAAAATCGGCACTATTTTATTTCACTTCTGACACCAATTGATTTACGAGATTAGGGTTCGTGACAATAAAAACTGCCGATTGAATTACCAAAATTAACATTTTAATTACCAATTAAAACTAAAATCACACTGATTCACTTTATTTTGCTCCGAAGCTTCGCTTGTTGCTTTCAACGGCTTTAAATAGTGCTCTTCCACCGAAACATCCAGAATATTCCAGCAAATACGGGCCCCGACCGATGGGAGAGCCATGCTGCAGTTTATTAGTAATAGTTTGATGCCGGGGAAGGACCACGCTCTCAAGAACCAGGTGAAATAGTAGCTTATGTGTGTTTTCGTATGGTGAGTGTGAGAACGGAGCCTTTTATGGAAAGGGTCCTCACGGGTGATCTGCATTGATTTTAAGTTGTAGATGTCTGGGCCGAGCCTTACCTAGTGGACTGTGTTCGTTCCCTATTATAAAAATAGATTGCGCTAGTGCCATCAACTGTGGCGCGCAACAATACTATGCATGGACTACCAGTGCATATTAAATTAAGTATCTATTACAACCACCTTGTGCAAAAACGTTTTATATTTGCAATCAATACTAACCAACCTAACTAAGGCTAACTTATCTTAATATTTTTTTCTAGGTGGGTACTTTACATCTTTCAGTCTCGTACGGTTTAGCTGGCCACTACACGCGAAACAAACTTATCACGGAATGGCGAAAACGGATATGTTTTACAAAAAAAGAAACTATTAAAAAACTGCTTATTTAAAAAAAATTAAATTTCACCCACAGTAAGGGCATGAGTTTGTCTTCTATATACAAAAAAATAAAGGGGGGTCGTCACTCAAAAATAAAAGTTATTAGAGTCCAAACTTACACTTACAGATATGGGACACCAACTGCAAAAGTGTGGTTATTCCGAGGATATATACACTTCCGGCTGATGATGCATATATTCTCGAAAGGAGCTTTCTGAGACGCCACGAGTGACACCTTCAATTCCAGCCGCAGACTCCTGGTTCGCGAAATCACCTACACCGTGTTTTTCGGTTTTTCACTAATAACTCAGTTGTCTTATCCAAAAATTCCAAATTTTTGGAGGATTATGTGTCCCCAGGTGGCGCACAAAAATCACTAAAAAAATAGCAGGTTGTGGCGACTAATAGACCACCGAACGCGATTTATTGTTTTGCTTATATGAGAAAAACCGGTTTTTCACTTGAAAAATCACTAAAACTGTTTTGCGGTTGAAAAAATTACACTAAGTTGACACTAAGGACACTACAATCCGTTAACTTTTTACCACTTTTCGAATTTTTAACTGCGGGAGCGTCACAGTTTTGTGGCGTTCCGCTTTGCTTCCTTGTACGCGCGGGGGTAAGTTTATCTCCTATTTTATCTACTGTGGATATTATATACACCATAGGCTCGCAGGGTGGATAAAACTCTGGCATAGGGATAAAACAATTTTAAATTGAAAATTTTTGTCTCCTGCCCATGCTAGCCCAGCAGTTTGAAGGCTACTGGACTTAACATCTAAGCCACAAATAAATCAATCTACAACGAGTATTCACAAGAGCGCAATGCTATTAAAGGATTTTCGCCACAATTTACTGTCTCATAAGTACCTATATATCTTTGTACACATGGCAGCATTTGGATAAAATAAAATTTGGATAAATGTGAGAACCAATTATAAGTTTCTCTAATAAGGAAATCTATATTTCGTGGAAACATTTGCTCTGACGCATGTGAAATAGCTAATTGCAACGTGTGGTAACATTTGACTAGAATTAGATTCATCATCATCATTCACGACCATGTAAACGGTTTACCAAGGCAGTAAAAATTCCACGAGATCCGTGTTTCTCAGTAGTTCTAATGTTAGGTTAGGTTAGAGCAATTAGAGTTAGAGAAGGTAAGTGTTTGGAAAAATACCACAACTAACAATTTATTATTAAGTAGTAACTTGTACTATTGATAAGTATATATATACCGAGTCAGGCCAAAATATTTTTTTTTGAGTGTGTTTTTGAGTTTTTCGGTCGAGAAATTCTCAGTAGTTGCCTGGAGTCAGGAAGTTGGTGGTGTCTCACCCCCGTGCCTCGCAAAGCACGTAAAGCCATTGGTCCTGCGCCTGATCTCTCTCCGGTCGTGTCGGTTTACCGTCCCATCGGATTATGAGAGTGAGGGAATAGAGTGCACCTGTGCTTGCGCATACACTTGGGCACTATAATCTTGTCCTGCGCCGATGGCTAGCCTCCGTTGAGGCAGGCCGCCGTGACCGGAATTCGGTCTGGAGGATATTATTATTATAAACATATATTTCAGATACATGTCATGTAAACAATATACATAGATACAAAACTGAGATATTTCCAAACCTGATCTCGCGTTCCACACAGCTCAAGCGTTTCGCCTCCGCAAAATTGCAGTCCTCTGGCTTCCTTATTTTGCTTGGTCCAGCTGAGAACAAATCAATAAGCGCTAAGCCTGATAGAACTTGATGATTTAGATAAAATTGATTTTATATTTTACAAATTTAACATTAACAAACACAGTGCTAGTTTTGGTAGAAATTTTTATCATGTAATATGTATATTATGTTCAATTCTAAAGGCATCAAGTATGTAATCAACCGATTGTGAAAATATAATTCTTAAAACAAACTTGAAATTATAAAAAGATATTAATACCAAATGGGAAATAATTTTTTGATAGTGGACTTTAAGTATCGATGTTGGCGAGCTTAGCTGGCGAATTAATAAATGATATGTTTTCACATGAGAACCTTGTTGAACTACAAGAAAAAATACAATCATGTAAAACTTCTAAACATTTTTTTTAGGCAAGCACAAGGAAAATTAAATAAATAGCACGTATTTGAATGTCAGTTAACCTAAGATAAAAATAAATAAATATTATAAACACTTAAAAACATTACACACAAAACACAACACTTAACAGCCAGACTTCATATTGAAAACCAATTCTATCTTGATCTTTTATTATTGTTAATTGAGTTTGTCTAATATTCGCTAGTGCGAAAGTTTTACTTGTTTTTACTAAATAAACGTAAATAGTTATATCGCTAAGCATTTAGATAAGTTATAATTAAAAATTCTTACAATTGAATGGGTGTATTATAGATTTACTCACCTTCACAAGAATTTGGTGATTTGTGTTTAACTGCAGCACTTTTTGATAATACTTGAGTCGGTAATGGTGGTGGAGGCCTTCTTGCATCAAACCTTAAATCATATTTAATATAGATTTAGTGTTATGTCCCATATAGAAATGTACATAAATATGACTATACTTACATAACTGGCAGAGGTGGTGGAGGTTGGTCTATGGGGAAAACCATGAGATTAGTTTGTGGTGGTTGAGGTGGTGGTGGTGCTGAAAAATAATGTCTCTAAGTTTATCCAATTTCATAATTTTCATTATTAAATTATTAGTGTTGAATCAAAGGTCAGTTTATATTTAAATTGTGCTAAAACACTTCTAGCACTAGCAACAGGTAGCTATAACAATGCAAAGTCCATACTATAATTTGTATGTACCAAAATGATGATCTATAATTTCAATAAGGTAAATAATTTCTTTGATTTACAAAAAAGCTTAGTATATTTTAATTATTTATTAATTGTAACATAACATTAAAAATCAGCCTTTGAGCAATCAAATTAAGTTAAATGTGGGGTTTGCAACCCTGGCACTTTTTTCAGCCTTCATGGTCTAGAATGTTATAAAAACATCTAAAAAATTTTGAAGCAGTTTACTAATAGAACAATAGTTGGCTGTGAGATCATTGGACCACTGGACTTCAAGTGGTAAGTAATAGATATTTTTCATAAAAAACCTTTAAACTGTCTTATTTCATAAATTTTGCTTAGGCTGTTCAGAAACTAAAGCAGTGCACAACATGTTATGTGTGTAACAACAGGCAAAGCATGCTATCAGGGCTGATGATGAAACATCACAGATTAAATGTTTCATGTTCAGTTAAAATAAATTACTACAGATAAATAGCATTCACAGCGGAGAGACTGATGTGTTCGAAACCTAAGCTTTTAAATATAGTTCTAGTATTAGTTCAAATGAGGAAAGACTATAAAAACATAGTAAATACCACATGGCACTAACATAAAATAGTAGAATGGTGCTGCTATGTAAATTATAGTGAGTACAGAGAAGCAGAGATCACTTTTACATGCAACAAGGCTTTCAATCTGCAGCAAAAATTACTGCAGTAATTGTCTTTAATATTTTTTTATAGGATAGGGTGACAAACAAGCACACAGTCCACCTGATGCTAAGTGGTTGCTGTGGCCCATAGACATCTACATCTATCCTCGTATGCGATTCAAAATGCAGATGCGTTGTCACCCATGAGTGACATAGACTAAGATGGAATGCCTCCTTTCCAGCAAAAAGGGTCTCCGGTTCTCTACACTCACCATACGAAATACAGCAGCATTAAGCTACTATTTCACGCTGGTATTCTGTGAGAGTGTGGTCCATCCCCGGTCGAGCCAACCCATTCGTGCTACAACTATACTACTAATATAACTGCAGCATGGCTCTACCACGTTTTAAATATATAATATGCGAAAGAGACTGCCACTGGAGTTTTTCCTGCTGTCATATGCAATATTGAATCATCATCATCATTACAGCCCTACACAAGTCCACTGCTGAACATATTGATTGACATTGTAAAATTGTGGCCATAAAACGTGGCTTCACCTATGTGTTTTTTCAATTATGGCCATAATTATTGCTGTATCATGGTAATGTGGCTGATAAATGAATGCGCCACAGATAAATGCGCTTTCTACTCAAATACTGTCGTGTTAATTTTTATCTCCGTATAAATTTCAGATTGTGCTCTTGGATTTTGGGTTTTCTTTTTAATATTGCATTATTTTTGTATTTCTGTGAATAGTTTAAACTGTAAATAAAACTTGAAACATAGCTTTGAAACTCTATTAGCTTTTAGGATGTAAACCTGCTTCACACACCATATAGATTTAAAATACCAATAAACAGAACTATATAACTTTGCAAAATTCCAGCAAAATATTATTGGCAAATATGTTGCCCATAATATGTACAACATTTAATTAAGATTCATAAGGGGGAATTTTTTTTGGTTTTAAAATGACAACATATTTAATTTAAAACAATAAGCATAATACTAACCTGTGTATACAGGTGCAATGATCCATGTGACAGTCGCTGATGGAACAGTTGGAGACGTTAGAGCAGGAGGAAGGTGTTGGATTGGTATGGAAGGCATTTCTGGCTTCATTGGTATTGCTGGAATTGGCAGTGGTGCAGGATGTGCAGGTCGAGAAGATGGGGGTGGTGGTACTGGGGAAGGAAGAGGTGCTGGTGCCAGGGAGGCTTTGCATTTGGTCGGCGTTGAGTTCTTAATAAACATAGTAATTTGAGAAACAATCTCTAAATTTGCTGAAGCAGACATTGTAGCATAGCGTTCAGCAAGTACTCGAGGTATTTGGCCAGTGGTAAGAAATAAATTTTCTTCTTCCCTAGTTGTATGAAGATATTTGCAGTTTTCTCGTGTGCAGCCAGTTCTACTCTGATAGTCGCGGCAAAATTTTAGAATTTTTTCCATTTCCTCGAAGTCAAGTTCATGACGAAATTTACATTGTGCATTTTTTGAACATCTCCCCCATACATAATTAGGACATATTTGTTTAGGTTGGTCAGTGGTTTGCTCCTTTTCTGTTTCAGTCTGCGATTCATATGGCGGCGGAGGCTGTGCGGGTAGCGAAGGCTGACGGCCAACTTGATCGCCACGATTGCTCATTGTCTACGAATTCCTAAAAGCGAGGTTATGATAAATCATAGTGATTAATTTTATTAACACATTTATTGCCAAAATTATATACCACGAGACAAAGAAAAAATTGTTACCTGCAGACTTATGGGTGAGAGATAGTTTTATGGTATATTTTATTACTAACCTGAACTTACAGCAGATTGAGGGGTACTGGACTTAATATCTAAGCCACAAATAAATCAATCTAAGAACTTTAAAAGCGAGAAACGCGCTCGAATCCCATTAATTCTTAAAAGTCCGAGGTCCCCACTTGGATCATTAAGTTATATTAGTACTCGTTATTAGTTTGTGAGTTATACAAATCATAAATCAATGAATGTCTCTTTCAGTGTTGCCAGATGTCTTGAACCATTTATCTGTATTAGACACTGCTTAAATCTGTATTAAATCTGTTTGCTATTTAAACTTAAAATCTGTATAATTTAATAAACAAAAATAGAATAATTGATCATCATCATCATTGCTTTTTTTGAAAAACAAGGAATAACTACTAGTACTACTACTAACTACTACAACCGTAATAAGCAGATAAGGTTTGATTATCGTAATTAAATAAAAATATTTTTTTATAGAATAAGGGTGACAAACGAGCACACAGTCCACCGATGGTAAGTGGATGCTGTGGCCCATAGACATCTACATTTATCCTCGCTTAAAAATTAAAACGCAGATACGTTGTTACGCCTGAGGACCAAGAGGGGATGCCTCATTTCCAGTAAAAAGGGTCTCCGGATTTCTACTTTCACCATACGAAACACAGCAGTATTAAGCTGGTATTTTACGCTGGTATTCTGTGAGAGCGTGGTCCTTCCCAGGTCGAGCGTCAGCTATTATGGTTGCAGTGCTGCAACCATAATATAGCTGCAACGTGGCTCTACCACGTATAAAATATACACTATACACTAATTTTTTTTATATAGCAAATTTGAAAACATTAATTTAAGCAAACAACATATTAAAACTCAAACATTTGCCAAATGAACATATAACTACTTTATTATTTTCAGTCATACATATTTTATACACAGGGCGTTAGTGTAAACACCGTTATACTTGAAACCAAACCTTGAAAAAAAACCAGTGGTTTGGTTTCACTTATAGAACGTAAATTCAATTAAATTAACAACATTTTTTTAAGTAAAATCTCAATATTTCCTTAATTCCTCAATTTTGCCTGTCCTAAGCCAGGGTGAATGTATGAAGGAAAGTTACATCACAGGTTGTGTGTACCTATTCTGTTTTATTGGAATATAGTGTAGGTAGCTAGCGCGGGCGGTGATCTTTACAGTGATTACGTCACCCGGGCGCATAGGGTATCCATGAATTTACGGACGGTTTCGGACAGAAAGCTCTTAAATTTTATGAAAGAAAATAGGTTTTTTTTAAGAATTCGGATAAATATTTTTATATTAAAGCCAACTACCTATCGTTTTAGTGACAACGGTGTTCACACTTACACCTTGTATACATATTTTGTAATACACTTGTAATTCTGCCATACTAACTAATTACGTTGTGAAAAAATAAATTAACCATAAAGAATAGAATCATGAATGTGTGTAACGCGGTATCTAGTCACTTATTTTGCTTCATTCTATTTTAAGTTGAATATTATGGTAATCCAATCAATGGAGTTAGAAAACTCTGTATAAAAATCTGTACCCAGTGCTAATCTGTATCACACGGTGAAAATCTGTATAAATACGGGGAAATCTGTATATATGGCAACACTGGTCTCCTTCTCTTTGTAGACTGCGCCAAAGAGTATACTAATATTTAGAGGGACGCCTTAGAACCAAAGAGTATATGATCACTAAGTTTACTCGAAACCATAGATAAGAGGGTTCAGGACGATTCTTTTTTAAATGTTACTTATAAGAATATAACTCTTAAAGAATATCACCGCACTTTAATCAGTCACTCGCTAGGCGCTTGTAGAGTTGTCACGTGTTGTGTTGATTTAAAAAAAAAACTCGTGATAAAAATATGCCGTCGTGTGTACTTAGATATTGCATAAATAATTCAAGAAATGTCAGTAATAACCGAGAAATTACTTTTCATCGGTTAATAAGATACTTAATCAATATAAAAGTATTATACATTAATAATAAAATAAATTATTCCTAAGACGCCATCTTGTGTCATGGAATATAGATTATGAAATTAATTTGTTCAGATGCGACATTTCTGTAGGTACTTAAGTACAGGACGAATATATTATTATACATATTATTTTTTTTTGTAGAAACATAATTTAACATATAAGTTTCATTTCACACATAGGTTATCATAATAAGGATAAATTTTTTATATTTAAATCTGCTCACTATTCTTTTATTTTATTTTTATGTTGGTGGTTGGTTTAAGTGGTATAAATTCATCTCTCGACGAATTCAACTTTTGTTTTAATTTAAATAAATATATGTGTAATTTAAATGTTGTGTTAATAAGTTTTGTTAAATATATATTTAGTATGTTTCTTATATTTGACATAGATACCTTTTAAAATATTCAGATAAAAATATAATTAAAATGTAATTGTGATATAGTATTATGTAATATTATATAAAATAAGCAAATGTAATATTCAAAATAAATGACAAAATTTAAATATTGTTCTCGATATAATTTAGCTATTTAACAATACAATCTAATATTACCTACGGGTAATTCTACCTATGTTTATTCTATGATTAAAAAACCGCGTGAACACAGAGTAGCGCACATTTTTTGTTTGAGATAGGTGTTCTAGTACGTAAGTACATAGTACTTCAATGGATTGGTCGATTTTTCTTAATATAGGTAATAAAAGTTGTTTACATTACTTGTTATCAAAACGACATTCTATACAAATATACTAAGAGTTATAAACATGCTAAATAACTATATTAATACACGTTTTCACCCAGTTTTATCGGTAATTTCACTATTAATACAAAAAACAATACTATTTATTACTTTGTTTCTTAGCGTTGTTAGGCCGTCGCGAACACGTAGGGAAATAACATTGTGTTCGAGTTACAAAGTCTAATAATTCGAGATACCGCGTATTTAGGGGTTCAGCGGAAGGGAATGGCAATTTTATCGACTTAACGAGGTTCGAGTTATAGATTCCACTGAATATCATAACATGCATATAATTTTTAAGTACGGCGTGTCTTTCAGCAACTTAATATTACCAAGTTTTTAAGTTTATATGTGAAGTTTAAAATAATATAATTCTTTTAATATAATTATTTTTAAATGTTATTTATAAAAATATAATTCTTTAAGAATTTAAGAATTATATTCTTAAAGAATTAACAAAAAAATCTCGTGATAAAAATATGCCGTATTTTTATCACGAGATTTTTTTTAAAATCAACACAACACGTGACAACTCTACAAGCGCCTAGCGAGTGACTAGCTTGCTACATATTTATTTATCTATGCGAGTGACTGATTAAAGTGCGGTGTATGCACCTCAGTTGAGTGGAACAGAGTAGCTGAATGCAGTGTCGCATCTAGTACGTAGTACATAATAGCTCAATGGACCAATCACAGCGCGTCTTATCGTAGAACTCTCTAGAAGTTTTTTAATTAACTGCGTAATAGTTCATACTAAAAATAATGAAAATAATTTTATGTTCTAAGAGTTGTAAATATGTCATTGAATTAGCATATGGCTTATAGATTAAAGAAGTATAGGAATATTTTGTATAAACGCATTTGATAGTTACAGAAAAATCAAAGAATGAATGTACCCAAATATTATGAAAATTTGGGACATTTCGTTTAATAACTTTTTACAATGTTAATGTTTTGAGTAACCTTTATGATATACTAATAAAGTACCAGACTACCGATTTGTTGATGTATAGCATGTTAGTGTAGCAATTAGTTTTGTATAGAAAATATTGTAATTTATGCCATTCATTCGTCGTGCGGGACCCATATAGAGAGGACGTGTGAAAAATTTAATGCAAAATTTAACATTATAGAACATTGTAATTTATACTTTATTGTCTTGCGTGTAAGTGTAAAAATAGTGTGTGTTGCTATAACAGTGACGTATTGTGGGCATATCGCTTGTTCACTCGGATTACTTTCTCTGTCCTATTTTGGCATCGCTTCTTGGACTCGTTGCAGCGAGGCGCGCATACTTCACCCCCGCTATGAAAGGACAAAGTAGATTATTTGTTTTTGTCATACACACGAACTAATACGATGCAGCGTACTCCGCCACCAACAACACCTCCGGCACAGAGGCTTAAATATTCGTCAAATCCAGAACTACCCGAAACGTGTGGCACTGATGATAATACTTTTGTGAGTCTCCGAAAACGTAAGCAGCCTGATGATAAAAATATTAAGGCGGTACTAGAGTTCGTTGAGCAAAAAATTAATGATCAGCTCAGCTCATGGAAATTACGATTGGACATCACCATTGCCGAAAGTATCAGAAATTCAATCGATACAGTTATTGATAGAGAGCTAAAGAAAATATCAGCGACTATAAGTAACTCCTTTAAAGAATTAGGTGATAGATTGGATACAATCGACAAATCCTTATTTTATACGATGGAAAGGCAGGATAGTATTAAAACGCGTCTGACACAGGTAGAAAGCCAGCTGAGATCGAACGATGATGTAACCAGCCAGATTAACCTATTACAAGATAAAATTGATGCAATGGAGCAACAGGCGCGGCTTTATAACGTCGAGATTGCTAACTTACCAGAACGACGTGATGAAAACCTTCTATCTATTATTGAAAAGATTGGTTGTGTCATCAAACACCCTGTCAGCAAATCGGACATTGTATCAGCCCATAGAGTGCCTTACGATCAAAGTACATTTCGATCAAAAGTGTTCGCGTCCAAAAAATGTTATTATAAAATTTACAACGAAAATAATCCACGACAACTTCATCACGGCAGCACGGGCAAATAAAGGTTTAAAATCAGACCAGCTGGCGGTACCTGGTA